ACTTTGGCGGGTGGGAGGCCTCAGTATCCTGACATAAGCGCCTGTATGCTATGCTGTGTATGTAAAATCTATGCATATACGGTAGTTTCCCAAAATAGGGGGACCCCACTATAGACCCCAAATTGCTATAATCATCAATAAGCCTGATTATGGGGACCCCAGAATGGTACCCTTACTTTCGGGAAACCCTCATACAGGTTCCTGCTCATGGCAAGGTAGCTCGGAGTAGCTCTACACATTCCACGACTTGCTTGGCTGTGGTCGTCCTGTTTGACTGAGAGGCTGAGAAATTGAGACTGTAGTCTCCTTAGACCTATAATAAAAATTATACTTCTAATAATTCTTTAGGGTTATACTATAATAAAGATCAAAAATAAGTCCAGACGAAACTACATGAGATGCATGAGAGTTTTAGTTCTGTCTTGCTTTGCGTGCATTCTGTTCTGCACTCCCTCATGAGTCCATCTTGTCGAGTGCTTCGTCGGGCCCTCAAGGCCTCAAAGGAGTTCGGGGGTAGGAGTGTCCGATTCAAGGGGAAGGCGAAGGTCTCCCAAGAATCTCCAGTAACACCAACACAGCTGCGTGAACCCAAGTGAGACTTCGACAACCACCGGATTTCAAATCTCCCAAATCCGAAACACTTCTGCAAGAGACATCCTTTGGTTCTACAAATCTACAAAGCTGCATGCGACTCCCGGGAGCCCCATCTTGCAGGGTCCTGACATCATCCCATGAACCCTGAATTTCAAAGAGCACCCGTCCAGCGCCCAAACCCATCGCTTGACCCTGAACAGTAACCCTCTGGGCACCTGCGTTGGGTAAGCAGATCGAAGGCGGTTGCTCCCGGGCAATAAGGTCTAGCCTGGCAAGAACGCAGAGACTTGTGCAAAACAGGGGCCACTGAACCCCAGCGTTTTCTCAATTTAGGTGAACACTATCAAGGAGGCTCCTGCCGCCAGTTTTAATGCTGCCTTAACAGATTCAGAGTCTTCGCACAATCGAGAGAGGGGGCCAGTTCAGATCAGGGGCCCGGGGTGACTTCCAAAGCGGCGCAAGCAAAGGGTTCAGAAAAATGTCACATGTGCAAGATTCAGCAGGGGTTCAGCATTGACAGGACATGAATTCCAAAGCGTACTGCCCTCGGTTCTGAGATAGCTGATGATGCCCATGCAACTAAGTGCTGCTTCAAATACACAAGATTGTTCAGGGGGAATGAGCAACCTCTCATACATTATCATGCAAATCACCCTCCCCAACAATAAATGAGGAACAGGACTTGAAACAAATATTGAAGCAGACCGGTACTTCTCATAAGTTGCGCTGAGGTGACCAGGAGAAGGAAGTGAGACTTTCCTGAGCACCCCTCTAGCACGAAGTACTATGCTCAGAATGATTTGGGTTTGGTGGTAAGTGAAATGGCCAAAACTTCAGATTAGCCGCGGTCATTGTTACCACGACTCTTGCCGGTAGGCTGTCCTGTAAGAAGGGCCATGAACACAGCCATGCCGGCCACTTTCCTTCTGTTTTCTACTGCAGTCAAGGTCATTATTGACATCGTTACAGCAAAAGGAGAAATCTCGCACCAGCGTTCGTGCTGACAATGTCCGGAACGAGAAGATGATGTTCCAGGGGTCTGATGGAGGACCCTCTTTCAGCAGAACTTCATGCAGCCAAACTTACAGATAACTGCGTGGTCTGTGCAAGCGCAAGACTAAGACTGCTAAGAACAGGGTGCAGGCCCAAACTCGAGTGTCCATTGTTCAGTGTTTAGGGTTGAAAATCGATTTGTTGAATTCGAATTACATGTTACCAGGGTGAATGTCTCTTGATGATGGTCGTCGCTAAAATGCACGTGTCCCGAAGGAGGAAGCCTTATCAGGTGCAGAGCGCTAAGTCCAGCAACATGCAACTACTTTCATAAACCCACAGGTCCGAACGTACCGCTGCAATTTCACATCAAATTGGGAGTCTGCGAAGCTCTGGGCTCTGGGTCCCCGTCTACCTCCGAAAACGGTTCTGTATCCATAAGAGGACTCTGAAACGGGACCCCAAATTCTGAGAAACCCCTATGTGCTGACGAGCCTGTTCGTTTGACGCAGGAGTCGCGGCAGGAACCTCTATCCAACACAGAGGAGCCGAAGGAATCAGAAGGGCTTTGTCGGGTACCATGTACTATAGATGCACGCAGGTAACTTACCATACGGGGAGAATTGATATTACTCTGGCTCTTGGCTTCTATTCGTGCACTGAAAAGGCTCATCCTTCCCACAACCTCACCCAAAGCTAGTTCAGGACCAGCTTGCTGGTGCTCAGTAGGGAATGAAAGGATCCCTGTAGCCACCCTATATAATGTCTTAGTTTCCATGTTCTTTTCCATGCCGTCATTCCCTCAGCAACTGTACCCGCAACATAGTGTTTGAGGGCTTAGGACCCTAAACGCTAAACCCTGTGGCTGTCATGGCACTGGAGTGGTACCAAGCTGAGATCCGTCAAGCCGACAACTTTCCCGGCTCAACCCCAGGTTCTGCATCTGTCTTTTTCTACGCACTTCTGGCACCTTTTCTGCGCAAGCCAAAGTCTTGGAGGTGGTTTTAGGGTTCAGGGTTGAGAAGCACATTGGGTTTGCCGCTTAGACTTCACAGAAGCCCAAATGTCAAAAAAAAAGCCGTGCACCCTACGCAGCCTCAAAAACTACATCTGAGATCAGACGATGATATCACCCTTAAATAACCCTAGCCCTATTTTTCATGCTCTTCTGCGTTTGGGTCTCCATTGTCGGGGTAAGAAGATACTAAACCATATTTCCAGCAACTCTGTCTTTCGGAGTTGTCACGTGTGCACAGTGACGACAGGTATTTGGTAACATCAAATCCAAAGCTCTAAGCCCTGACATCCCCCAATGCACGTCAGCCAAGCCAAACCTAACGGAGCGATGAGAATGAGACCCATCACTTACATCATTCCGCACCCACCAATAGTGCTGTAATGGGAATACTTTTACCATTATCCATGAGTGGGGGGGATCATTGAGCCTATCGCTAACCTATCCACCTTCCTCCTCGACGGTGGTAACCCTAAAACCCCTCAATACCTTTAAACAGTAAATCCCTCAACCCTAAACACACTAAAGCCTTAAATCCTTGACCTGAAGAGCCTTAAGTCGTAAAACCCGAAAACGCCCTAAAGCCCTAAACTGCTTTAGCAATAGCCCCTCAAACCTCACGATCCAGGCCTTAGGGCTAGCCCGGGCAGGTGCGGCTCGAGGCCTAACTGCGAAGATTTGACGCTCAACCCTAAGCCCCAGTTGAGGTGTTTTGGGTTTAAGAGTTTGGGGCCTGCCCTGCCCTAAACCTAAAACCCTAAACCCCTAACCCTGAGCCGTTTGCAGATTGGTCCTAGAAGCTTTTGGGATGATTTGGGGCTTTCCTTTCGGGTGCCTACAGGTGGAGGCTTTGCATCGCTGTGGGATTCCATGTAGAGGAGCGGTTTAGGGTTTTAGGGTTTAGAGGATCCAACTGCAAGACATGGAAGTTTCTCAAATTGGGCTGCCCTCAAATGGTAGTTTCCCCAACATGGGGGGACCCCAGGTATAGACGTCAAAATACAGCGATCCTTATGATGGGGACCCCTAAAAGGAACCCCTAATTTTGGGAATCCCCCCGAAATCCTAATTAAGCCCTAAACCCTAAAACCCTAATATTGGGATCCTTCCTCCGCCCAATATTTGAAGTTGTATACGCTGAGGCTGGGGATCCCAATCAAACGTAATTACCTCCCCTTAATAGAGCCCCACCACCCATCTAAATATGTTGGTGCCAAATCTTCCGGGGAGTTGGGAGGGAATACGGGAATACATTATATAGGTAAGGATTATCTTCCCCTGGTCCATACTAAGACTACGTAACCACCAGTAAGAGATTGGGGGCTGATTGTACGGGGAGCTGATTGCAACTTCGTCCTTTGTTCCACTTCCCCGGCCAGGCTCTATATGAAGCATTGGATTCAGCGGAGTGGAACTTTATGAGCTACGGCCTAAAGTAAGGTTGGGCAGGACCTACATATGCTATAGCTTTAGTCCAGGGTTGATATTCTACTCAAGCCTTTGGGGTGAGGTCGGGTGAGGTTGTTCTTCTTTCCCTGAACCCTAAACCCGAAATCCCTAAACCCCTAAACCCTAGACCCTAAGATAACCCAATTATAGTAGTTTCCATTTTCTTTCCATTCCTCCATTCCCACCCTAAACCGAAGGGCAGTCTTACAACCTTCCCATGCCAAGGGCACTGCACGGGCTTGGAAGGAGACACCTCCTGCAATCTGGGATTGACTGTGTCATCGTGGACTTGGGGCTTGGGCTGCAGTGTACAAAGGCTCTATGATGATTATCATGATGACTGCGATGCTGCTTATAGTTCTGGCTCTTATGATTGGAGGAGATATCTGCCATGAACACGCACAAGCCGCAGACAGCAGCGACAACCGTCATCGGAATTATACCGGAAATCAAATGCGATGCTGCACTGCGCGCCACATCCCACTAGCCTGAACCATGGAACTGCCATAACTCACTTAGATTATCCTCGACATGCTTTAAACAAAGCCACTCATGGCTTGTCCGATGCCGTTTCTCAGTCGCTCACAGCCCTGAGCCCTTCACACGAAAATTTCTACTGGTGCTCAAGGGAGACTGGGCGAATGGATCCCTATAATCCCTACATATCACCCATATATACCCCCATCATGGTACCCATATTCACTCCCCACTTCCCCTTAAGCACCAGTAGCAATGATCCAGGTTCTGAAATTGCATCTCCCTGTGATCCGATGACAGTCAAGATTCCAGCCCTTACAACAATCCTTGCTTCTAGTTGCAGGGTCATGCCGAAACAAGAAGACGCTACATGTGCAAACCCAGAACCTTACTCCCAAGCCCTCAGACACTGAAAGTACACCCTTAAAGCCTAGAAAGACTGTAAAGCCGGTAGATCCCGGCAGTCGTTCCACTAGAACCTTTGTCTTCCCCGTCCCAGTGCACCTCTGGAGCCAGATGCACTAGTTGGAACCCTTTGAATCCAACAGCCTTACTGGGGGCTAGTGGGAACTATATTCCCTAACCGCTAGATCCCCCCCTACATAATATGTTCTCTTATTCCCTGCTAACCTCCAGTAAAACATCTTTTCAGGGTTCTGCTAACGCCGGACCCCTAGGCCGAGTTGTGGTCAGCTCCTTGTCGAAGCCTTCTGCTTCCTCCACATCTGTCTCCTGAAGTTAGACTGTGGGGTTGTGGGGTTCAGGGTTTCGGGGTTGGTCTTCCAGGGGCTCTGAAATCTTGTTCTGAAATCCGGGCTTGGGGCTCTGGATTTGGCGAAGGCGGGGGGGAAAGCTTGGAACTTAGGGCTTCAAGTTGTCTTGAGGAATCTTGCGACAAACAGAGGCGCCTTTTGCAAACACACTTAAGCATGGCCTAGTGTGCTGAGCGCCGAGAGTGCTCCTTGTTTAGGTGGGATGTGGGTTCCTAAAGTGGCAAAGCGGCTGCGCAAAAGCTCGAACCATCTCCATAACGATCCGGAATGCTATCAAATGTTTCCCTTGCTTTTATCTAAGATTAAAGACTCTCAGCACGCTTGTGCTTGACCATGTGCAACACTCTGCAATCAACGAGTTCTAACACAAGAGCTAGATTTAGGCATGTCCGGGATATAGATCCCTCTATTACCCGTGTTTCCATTTTCGTTTCCGTTTTCTTGTCCATTTGATTCTCCATTATTGGGATACTGGGATACTTGTGAACTATGGCAGCATTATGGAGCCTCTGCTCAGCCCAAATCGGCTCCAAACGCAAAAAGCGCCATGAAACCCGCCGCGGGGCAAGTAGTTGCGGCCTTTTTCACTCCCAGCAGCTCCAATATGTGAGCCCCTCTCGTCTTCTGGAGTTGCTGATTTTGTGCTGGCATACGGATAACTTAGAGCAGAAACGGCGCAGCACATGTTGGCTAAGCTTGTGCAGGATGGCTGGTATCTCAGCTGTTTCAAATGTTGCTGCTCCCGTTCGTTTTTTTCTGGATTTCAGGCCCCTCTCCTTTACTTGTATGCTGCTGTTGGTAAACATTCTCTCCTTTTGCGTCTGCATCTGAGCCAGAATACTTTTTGACGCCCCCTCAAAGGACATGTGTTTAGTAGGCTGGTAGTAGTCCTATATCCCTGCCCCCGTCTGAGATTATCCCGGAAGCCAAGCCCTCCTGTTTACTTGTGTTTTATTGCTTTGGGTTTGTTTGTGAGCTCCTCTTTGCTTTCGGTGCACCCAGGCAGTTACGCACCAGCAGCCTTCTCCTGTTCTCGTTTGCTGCCTTTAGGTTTCTCGTGTGCTCAGGCCCCTCTCTTTTGCTTGTATGCCGCCCCCTCTGAGGGTTTGCTTTTGAGACCCCGTCCTTTAAATCTGCCTCTGCTACTCATGCTGCCCAGTGCTTACGGGAGTCAGCCTTGTGTGCTGGTCGCCACTTCGTCCCTGTAGGATTCAGACCGGAGGCCTGTACAGGCCGAAATTCAAAAATCCAGGAGCGACCCTTGCACCTCTCCGCAATCCTGATGAACGTATCGCTTTCCATGCACTACACCACTACTCGATGAGCCACAGTACATTCCACTATAGCCCCTAAAAGGGGACTCCATGCATTCCCCATGCAGGCTGTATGTAAACCTCCATGAAGAAGGGTCGCAATCTGCAAACTCCACGGGATGATCCCAATTACATGGGCCTCTAGGTTCCACACTCCCCAGAGCCTGAAAGACCCGCAACTTCAAGCCCTCCACTCCAAACCCCGGAGCGCATATCGAGAGCTTCTAGAAATACATGTATACACGAACAAAACATGTTTTTCTAAATACTACAGATGCATATATATATATATATCTACGTAGAACACTTGTCTGTACATGTAGATGTATGTGTCTATGTAGATGTACGTATAATTCACAGGAGAACCGCAAACAATCCACAAGCTTGACTTGACTCACAGACCGGGCGGCCTGGTCAGTCTTCTCCGCCTCCTCGTGCTCGCTTTCAGCGCCTGCCTCCTCCCACTCGTCTTGCTGTTCCTGAGCGCAGGGGGTGTAGGGGGTTGGGGTGCTAGGGCTTCCTGGTTCACGGATTTGGGATTGTGCCGCAGAGATTTAGGTTTGAGGGTTATGGCTTAGTGAGTTGAGGGCTTCATGCCCGTGTGGGTTGTGACCTTCGGGCATAAGGTGAACGACTCCCAGCATCGGGAAAGCATCCTGCTTGTCTTGTGTAGCTAGGTCGGGAACTTACAGCTCAAAAGGCTACACTTGGAACCTCGAGCCAGGTATCTTAGAAGGCTTCTGCTACAAGGATTCTTGGGGTTCTTGAATGGGTTGCGGTCGGGATGCCTGGAGTTCTTAGGCAGGTTCTTCTTCAGAGCCTGGGCATTCCTAGAGGGGTGCTTCAAGAAGTAGCAGAAGTCTGCGCTGGACAAAATTTTTATGACAAGCCTTAAATTGGCTGTGGAGACTGCGCCAACTTTGCCAACGTGTATGCTGTCGCGTAGCAGTTCGCAGATGACATGTTGTTCCCAAACTGGAGGGGACCTAGCAAAGACAGCCGGACATAAAAGGAAGGCGAGCTGAAGGACATCCGAGAAAACAAAGGGGCACATTCTAAAAGGTGTCAATGACTACAGCTACCGAGAGAGGATTGTCGTAACGCTAGGTTGCATCGCCCTTGAAGGACTTGCGCTCTTTGAGCATTTTGAGCCTAGGCCGCATATGTGTGTGCAGTGCCGCGGCAAACAGGAATCTTCAAGTTTGTTCCGCCGGACTCATTGACCTACATGAATGGAATGGGGTTCTGTGCCCGCCGAGAACAGCATAGTCCGTAGTAGAACCCCCTTCTCCAACAAGGGCCGAGAATGTTACGTTCCAGTCTTAAGCTTAGAGTGAATATCTAAGCATCAGTCAGTAACAGCGCTGTTGGTAGGGAATGCAAAAACGGATCCTTCTGGTACTTCATCTCCGGCAGTATGGTAATTGTTATTGTTCTTTTCCAGTCCTTCAATCTTTCATTCGATGCAAGCAAGCGGCGAGCCAACCCCAAACTCTAAGCTCTATGTCTCCCTATAACCACGCACCCCCGAGCTCCCCTTTCATTTTCCATTTTCTTGCCCACTTAATTTTCCGTCAAGAATTTGAACCCTCACCCCTATATAGTTTCCATGTCATGTCCATGTTCTTTTCCATTCGATTGGCCATGATTGGACCAACAAAATAGTAGGGCAACAAAATCGGCAGGCCTCAGCAGAGGCATCCCGTTAGCAGATATCAGTCGAATAATATTTTATGAGTAGTAGTAAACCCGAAACCCCTAAACCCTAGACCCCTAAACCCTAAACCCTATATACATTAGGTTAGGAATACCCGTTTGGTTCCCTCTGCAATCTGATGGACTATACTGTGGCTGTGGTGTATGGAAGGACCCTGCTTTTGAGATACACCCGTACAGGCTGAAACTTGACCATGCAAAAAGAGACTAGCAACAACGAACCCCAACTCCCTGAAACCTGTTTCATTATCCATTTTCTTGTCCATCTTTTGCCATCGTGACTGAGTCTGATTTACCGTTATCACAAAGTAGTATGACTTACTGTCCCTGGGAGGGCCCCGGAGCCAAGGATCCGGATCCAATTCCTCTTCGCCCTCCCCAGAGGGCTCCGCGTCTTCAATGAAGCCCTCCTCAAGGAGTTCTTCTTCGAAGCCGACGCCGCCCTGTCTCAAATTTCTGAATCTTGTTTCGGGTGGTTATAGCATTAAATGAATATACTGGGTATTTGACTTGCGGACCAGTGTGATTCTTGAGGGTTTGAAATTTCTCGACATGCAGTCTCTGTTTTCAGGAACTCATGTCTTTTCGGGCCATCAATTTCACTGAGCACTCTTCATGCAGTTCAAAGGAAGGTCACAGTGCTGCTGCAAGTCCTTTCATGCTTGTGGTGAATATACAGAAGCATACTGTGGAACTTAGACTATTGTGCCAATTTCTAGCTGGGCCGCTGAAGACGGCACACGTCTCTGCTCACCCGAAAGAACGAATCAGCACCGTTCTCCTCTACGTACCCGCTATATCTCGCTCTAAAAATTCTGAACCCGGTGTCCATTTCATGTTCCATTGTTTGTCAATTTTCTTGTCCAGAGTGATCAGCTTGAAGGTGCGAAGCCCTTGACATTTCTGGGTGTGCAAGTTGTCGTCCATCTCCAAAGAAGATTTCAACCCTTGAGTGAATCAATCATGGCCTGCAACCCATTCCCTTATCGCAGTGCCAGTCGCTCTTCTGTGATTCATACGCCTCAGCAGTAAACCCTCAGCTCAAAGCCTGAGAACAAATTCCTTACAAGTGAAAAATCCTGAGCCGTTCTTGCCTCACGACGGGAGCCCTGCAACCCTGAATCCAGATACGCTTGGAAAGGCTCCTCTTCGTCTGCGTACACCTGGTAGAAGTCATCTTCTGCTACCAGCTCTTCGCCCTCGCCATCCTCCTCTGGCAGAACTTCCACAAACTCCTTCGCCGTCTCAGTGGGGCTTTCTGCTGGTCCCATCAGAACTTAAGACCCAAGGCTAGACACTGAAAGAACTCCTGGGCAGATCAAGGCGCCCTCCAAATCAAGGAACACCTTCATAAAGCCTGAAGCTTCATTAGAGGCCGTGCTTGGCGTACACTTGCATGAAACAAAGCTGGTGTCGGCTTGCAGCCCTAAGGTTCAGGGTGTTGCTTTCCAATTCGTATCCCCCTTAATAACCCAAAGAGTTTAGGGTTTAGGCATTAGGGTTCAGGTTTGAAGGTCTAACTCCTAGTATCCCTCTTAATAGCCCCTTAGGGTTTCTTGGGCTTATGGTTAAAAGCAACTAAACAAGCTCCGCAGAACCTGCGCCGCTGCACCGAATGCCGCTATGGCTCTGACTCCCCAAGCAAATTGCTGAAGCCTTACATTGGAATTTCCCAAAATCAGGATCCCTTTTATGGAGGCCCCTATAATAAGTAAGGGTATTCTGGGAAACTACCACATACCTTCCGCCCGAAAATCTAGTGGTCTGCGCTATCAGCAAGGTCTACAGGAACTTGTTCAGGATAATAGGACTCATCCCTGAATTTTGACGGGAAGACCTTTGAAGGCTGTTGTTACCCGGGCATGTATCCTGCAATTTTTTGCAAAACCCTAAACCCAAAGCCTCAGAAGCCTTAGCCCAAGACTATGGCCTCTAAACCCAAAAGCCCAGTACAGGGGCCAAAATATTCAAGGCAGGGTGTTCGATTGTTTTGTAGAGGCTGTGAAGGAATTATGTTGTAAATGAATATAATTTGAGGTCTATAAAACAAGAACATTATGGGCAGATAGTCAGGCATCTAGATGCTGACCCTCAAGCCCGAAACCTGACCATCTCGTCTTTTTGTGGCTTCTGGCAAGACCATGTCCTCTTCTTCTGGCACGACTTCCACGTCATCGTTCACCTTTGTTTGGGAGCTTCGGTCTTGTAGAGCTCCCCTTGCCCTGGTATCCTGAACCCTAAACCCTAAACCTGAACCCTAGCCTTGTGGGCAACATTGCCCGCTGCAAGTGTCAAGACCCACGTCCCTGCGTAATACAGCGCGCTAAAGAATCAGCACAGGATTCTGGCATATGCTTGATGCATACTTTGCACAGGCTATATGGTAGTTATGGTAGTTTCCCTAAATAAGGGACGCCAATATAGTCCCCCAAATGCTATAATCCTTGTTTTAGGAGCCGCCCCAAAGGTACCCTAAGTTTCGGGAACTCCCCCCCCATATCTATATCTGCAAGACTCAAAATTATTGGGCGTTCTCCAGATTTCTGCAACTCATCTACTGAAAGGGACCCTTGCGTAATGTCGGGAATGTGTATGGCTCAGGGGATCCCTACACTACATGCTTCTATAGAGGTACAAGCCACAGCCCACGATCCCCCTGAATGACCCCTCTAGTAGTCCCCCGTATTACAATCCACTTTATACCCCCCCTATAAGGAGTTCAGATTATGGCTCACATGGCTACTCCTGAAAAACAGAAAGGTCTCCACGGTGCAAGACCCTCTGACAATGTGCCTCTGATTTCGAGATATAGGTGTGGATTCGAGATATAAGTGCTTTTAGAAAGTTGCCTTGTAAGAGCCATGACTGCATCAAGACTTCCCCAATGTTGAAACACTCCCTAATCAAGACAGAGCTAGAGAAGGTGGTTTTCCAAAATTAAGGCTACCTGTTTGATCCTTTTTTTTGGGTCTCTATAATAAGGATTCTTTGATTATAGTATTTTGAAGTCTATATTGGGGTCCCCTTTTTAGGGGAAGTACCAGACGGCATGGCACCTCTACCACATCTGCTGGCCAGTTATCATCCCAGCCGTCCTGAGGATTAATGGCTTCAAAGGGGAGGGTTTAAGGTTTACGGTTTAGGGCTTAAGTTACCAGAATATGGGTATATAGTAACTAATAGGGTTTCCCTATCCTAGTAACTTTATGCTACCAGAATATGGGCATATAGTAACTAATAGAGTTTCCTTACTATAGTAACTTTATAACACCAGAATATGGGTATATAGTAACACTACTCGGGTTTCCTTGTTACAGTACTTAAGTTCCCAGAGCAGGGTATATAGTATCTTAAAGGGTTTCCTTATCATAGTAACTTAACTTAAGTTCCTTGACAGCAACCCAGCCTGAGGATAATGGCTGCTAAGGGCTGCTGCCCCAAACCCTGAGGCCCGAGCCTTGGTATCTTTTGTAATAGTCATAATAGAAATAATGATTGTAGTGTTAGTAAGAATCATCAGAACAGTAATCAATAGTAATAGGAGTAAGAACAGTAATGATAGTGATGATAATGATAATGGCAATAATGATAATCATAGAAGTCATAATAGTACTTGTAGCCTTAAGATTGGAGCGTAGCTGTACGTAGTCTTCTGGGTGACATGCTTCAATGAGCCCGCGTTGAAGCTTGATTCCAAACCTCCGATGTATATGGCAATTTCCAAACATAAGGGGACCCCAATATAGACCCCAATATACTACAGTCCTTATATGCGGACCCTCAAGATGGTACCCCTAATTTTAGGAAACCACCATATGTGTTTATCTCGGCAGGCATCAAAGACAATGTCCTTTAGGACAGTCGTTTCGTTTTGTTTCTGTAGCTGACGCAACTCTTTCAGGTCTCGGGGTTGCTGCAACAATGCCTTCCAGTAAGAGATGGCTGGCAGGTTGTGAGGCCCTCAATCACAAACACATGCACACCAGGATCTGCCCAGAATCGGCAAGAATCCTGCTTTCAGCAATGCTTTGCGAGGATTGTGTGCCCGCAGAGAAAGTCCCAGATATTCCAAGGTTTGTGTAAGGCAGTAGGGCTACTCCCAGGAGCCCTTCGTAGGTCCTCCTGCTCCATATCACCGACCTCCTCTTCGGGTGTCTCCTCCTCTTCGGGTGTCTCCTCCTCTTCGAGGGTCTCCTAAGAGTGCAGTTTGCAGGTCAGGGTTCAGGGTTCAGGTCATGTGGTTCTTGGTTTCAGGTTCAAAGTTCACGAATCGTCCGAATTCTCCAGCCAAATTGCCCTGATAGCTTCACCCATTGTAGTTTGTTGAGATCCCTTACCCTGCTTACCCTGCCCTGCATCGGCTGGTGGGGGTTCCTTAAGTTGAGTCAGCATTGAGCCTGGGCACCTGGTCAGACACGGGGATCCAGAATTCAATTTCAAGATTTGGGACTATGATGCTGGCTATCAAACGCCTTACGTAATAAGTACATCTTGACAGCTCACTGGCAGCTGAATGCTCACTCGAAAGCCAATGGATAATGCACCAAGCGCCATGCTGACCTTGTTCAAGAACAAATATGAAGACTCATGTCCCCGTGCTCTTCCCAGAGCTGAACAATTAAATGCTATCCAAACAAAACAAATGAACCTAACGTTCTCCTGCTCCCTCAGTAGCCGATGCTTTTCAGGTACTCCTTGATCGCGCGGCGGTGGTTTCCGACCTCATGATCGCCAGAATTCTCCCCAGTCCTTCACGGATCGATAATATAACTCCAATATAACTCTAATATAACCCTAATGTAACCCTAATGTAACCCTAATATAACCCTAATGGAGTAATAGTACCAGACTTTTGGAGAAGTCTACTAAGCTACAGGGTTGATGATTTTTAGATTCGTGTGCAAAAGTCCTTGAGTTTTTGCAGACTGCTAGTCAACCTACACTTGGCCAAATGCCGGAACTGGGTTTAAGGGTTTAGGATTTAGGGGTTTAGGATTTAGGGGTGTAGGGGTTCAGGATCTAGGGGTTTAGGATTTAGTGGTTGNNATGAATAGGCTTATATCTTTGACAAGTCCGAATCAGGAGTGATGAACGAAATCCAGTTCCCAACCCTTGGACCTAAACCAGTGACATGCACATGCTCGTTCGAGCAGAATGCTAAGGCCGAGTCAATTTGCAGGAATCCACTTTTTCCATAGCTGGCTCTTGTCTGACACAGGAACCTTCAGCAAACAACAGGTCGGGGATGTAGGGCAGTCTAGTTTAGGGCGTGGAGTCTGTGTGTGTGTGAGCACTGAACACTGGTTGTGAAACACCTTCGAATTAAACAACTCTCACATAACGCCTTGTCAACAAACAGCCTATCTCACCAACACTGACATTAAACCAGTTGTGGCCTTTTGGGGACGGGCCTTCCGCAAGAGGGACATGCTATTGCTGTCAGGGTAATCCCCTCTCCCTAACGAAAGGGGGCGGGGGTTAGATATTAGGGGGAAAGGATTAATGGTATCCGCTCACAAACGACATGACTTCACAAACCCCCGGCCTGTGTAAAGAGAGAACGCTGGAGCCAAAGCTTTCTACTAATGTTACTGGGGGTTAATAAGAAATAAGGGAATCTAGTATATAAGGATTAGATTGAGGTTCTTCCCTTATCCCCTACTAGCCACCAGTAAGTTATGGATGCCTAGTACATGCTTTACATTTTAAACCTTAAACCCTAAACCACATGCGAATGCTGAGGCACAAGAAGGCCCGAGCCTGATCTTTCTCATGCAGTCCTTCAGGCCCTTGTCCAGCTATAGTCCTAACTCCTAGTACCCCCCCTGAATAACCCCTGTGATACTCCCCCCCATATAACGCCCTTCAGGGAGTTTAGACTAGAGGATCCTGAGAGCCACACCCAAAACCCAATCCATATGCTCCAGACCCTGCAGCCGCAAAATCCCCTGCAGTTGAGGAGCTCTATCTCTCGTTTGAGAGCTTCCGGGTCGCCCCGAACTTTGCGGACGATCTGGTCACGGTTTGAAGGCTTCATGCGGTCCAATGTGAAGCGCAAAAATTGCAGACATCGCCATACCACTTAAGATTTCAGCAGGCTTGGGGATGAGATTTGACAGCAAGGTCTGGTGGTGGTTCGGGTCTGGCTGGTGTTCAGTGCTACGAGCCCAGCGCGAATGAGGAGCATTTGAGAGTTCGGTCTATGGACGATAAGTGCCCCTCCCACCCCGCCCACCCCGCCCACCCCTCCCCACCCACCCACCCACCCACACAAACATGATCCCAACCGGTTTGATTGTACTCCTCCAAACTTGCCTGTGTCCCCGGTAAAACCTGCGCATCTCTGGTTTTGTTGGGCTGGCCGCACCATCAGGTTCTAAGAGTAGGCTTTCCATGCGAAAGTCTCATCAGGCAAAGAAGTGGAGTGCCTTGTAGCTGCTGGGTCCCAATGACAGCGCGCTTGTGTTGCCCCAACGTTTTAGGGGCGTCTGTCATGAAGTGCAATTGTCTAGACATATATCTGACCCTATTGGAATTTTAAGCTCGGACCGTACCAATGTTGAAGAAGATCTTGAAGACCACAAGAGCTATAGTCTAAACT